TATGTTGAGGGAGTATCAGAGAAACTGAGACGTTTATTTTCTAAACATAACGTCCCAGTGGCTTTTAAACCCCAAAATACATTACGGCAAAGACTGGTTCATCCCAAAAATCCAGTCCCCCGGCACAAACGGAGTAATGTTGTGTATGCTGTTCAGTGTCAGGAGGGCTGTGATCAGTCTTACATCGGGGAAACAAAACAGCCACTGGCCAAAAGGATGGCCCAGCACAGAAGATCAACATCATCAGGCCAGGACTCTGCGGTCTACACTCATCTCCAGGCTAGCGGTCACTCTTTCAGGGATGAAGATGTTCACATCCTGGACAGAGAGGAACGATGGTTTGAGAGAGGAGTAAAGGAGGCCATCTTTGTGAAAAGAAATCGTCCATCGTTAAACAGGGGTGGAGGCCTCCGGGCTCAACTGTCCCCCTCTTACATTGCTGTGATTGCTAGTATCACTCAGCCCTCTGTGAACAGTAAACAGCCATCAGTGTGCTAATGATCCATTGTTAGGCTGATGGTCCTTCTTGAGCATGTGATCAGCTGGTTTTGGTTGTCAGCAGCAAAACTGGTTGATCCACTCTGAGACGGTGCTATTTAAGAGACTGAGCTGAATACAGCTCCTCAGACTGAGGAAGTTTTTCGGATGAGAGACAAAACGTTTCTACATTTTTTTGTTGATTTGCTTTGTTTTTTTGTTTGTTTTTTTTTTAATGTCCAGAGGACCAGATTTAACTTTTTTAGAAATGTTTAGAAATTTAGGATCAGGTTCAAAAGGTGTTGCCACCCTTTACACAAGCACCAGAGGGAGCCAAAGAACAATTTTGATGAGACAGAGCAACAAAGTATGAAACAGTACTCTGACCTCCATAATCCACTGATCACAGCACACAAACAGCAACTATTACTAACATTATTTTTAATTACCAAAAAGCTTTGCATACTTGGATAGGAATGAACCTTAGTTATTCCTTACAAATATATAGTTTGATAAGTAAAAAGAACATATAAAGCTAAAAGGAAAACCAACTTGGTTTTTAGGTGTTACCTTAGTGTGTCTGCTGCTGACTGAAAAACTGATCACACTACAAAATACACAGAGCCTGCCTCCTGGTCTTTGGTAGGATGAACAAAATGCTGAGGACAAATCTTATTGATGGTATTAATTAAGTGCAACTTAATTAGCCAGCTTGACTATCAGCTTCATCAGCCATGATTAAAAACTGCAGTCCAAGCAGCTTAAGTTATGTCAGTGTATGTGATTCATCTACAGCAGCAGGCACTCCACAAACTGCACTTAACAGATCAGCAAAGGACAGAAACTGATAGCATTCCATCTACATAATGTCACCCATGTGTCACCCACATAACTAATAATACCAGTGATAGCTCAGAAAAAAGGGGCAAGTTACAAAAGTATGAGCTGGAGTTACATTGAACAGAGTGAGACACATATATCTTTCATTGTTTTAGCTTTAAAACATTGCAACAAATTAGTTACTTAATTAACAAAGCATTTTTAATGTTCCGTAGTCCTTTCTGGAGTAAGCCAGAGATTAACACAACATTTTCATAGACCTGTAATTTTAAAACATAAAATCAGTGTGCTTGTGTTGATCTCAGTAAGCTAGCACATGGTATTATTTTTTTATTTTAATAAGCCGGGTGACTACTTTACGTTCTCCTCCTTGAATCGCCACCTTATAGTGGTGGAGAAGTTTGTGTGTATGAATGATCCTAGAAGCGATGCTGTCGTGGGAAATTATAGTTGGTAGAGTCACCTAAGATTTGTCCTAGGTGACAGGCCAGACAAAAAGCTATTCAACACACTTGTATGGATCAAAACAAACAAGGAATTTGGTGTCCCTTGCCCGAGCATTGGTTACTAAGGTTCCATCTTGGAGTCAGACCTGGGGGAGAGACTCATCCGTGAGTGCCTGGTGACAGAGTCTCTACCCATAAGGCTCAGTCCGAACGAGCAACATGGATTTGTCTTCCTGTGGGTCCACCACCTTTAGGAAGGGCCATATGAGTCAGGTGCATGACGCATGGACAGTGGCTGAAGGCGGGGGTCTTGGTGCTCTGATACTGGCTTACCAAAGTTGGCTCTTGGACATGGAATGTAGCCTCTCTGTGGGGGGAAGGAACCAGAGTTTGTGTGTGAGGTTGAGGCACCGACTAGATATAGTTGGACTCACCTCGATGCACAGCATGGGCTTTGGAACCAATTTGCTTGAGAGGGGCTGGACCTTATTCCACTCTGGAGTTGCCCATGGTGAGAGGCACTGACCTGGTGTGGGTCTACTCTTAGCTTAGCTTAGACTTGGGGCCTGTGTGAAGGAATTTTCCAGTACATAAGAGGGTAGCTTCCCTGCACCTTCGGGTCGGGGGACGAGCTCTGACTGCTGTTTGTGCCTAAGCACCAAATGGCAGTTCACTATCCGGCCTCCTTCGAGTCCATAGCAAGAATGGTGGAAGGTGCTCTAGCTGGGAACTTCTTTATTCTGCTGGGGAACTTCAATGCCCACATGGGTAATGACAGTGTGACATGGAAGGGCGTGTCTGGGAGGAATGGCCTCTTTGATCTGAACCTGAGCGGTGTTCTGTTGTTGAACTTCTGTACTCGTAATGGCTTGTCCATCACAAACACCATGTTCAAACATAAGTACACTTGTCACCAGGACATCCTAGGTCAATGACTGACTTTGTAGTCATGTCAACTGATTTGCGGCAGTTAGTTTTGGACATTCAAGTGAAGAGAGGAGCTGAGCTGTCAATTGATCACCACATTGTAATGAGTTGAAGCAGATGGCGGAAGAAGATGCCGGACTGACCCGATAGACCCAAATGTGTAGTGAGGGTTTGCTGGGAACACATGATAGAAGAACCCGTCAGAAAGATCTTCAACGAACACATCCGGGAGAGTTTTAACTACATCCTAGCTGAGGTAGGGGACATTGATTTTGAGTGGGCCATGTTCCACGCCTCAATTGTTGAGGTGGCTGCCTTGAACAGTGGCTGCAAGGTTGTTGGTGCTTCTCATGGTGGCCATCCTTGAACTCAGGGGTGTCAAGGGTGGCTGTCAAGCTGAAGAAGGAGTCCTATTGGTCCTTGTTGGCTAGTGAGATTCTGGAGGCAGCTGAGGAGTACCAGAGGGCCAAGTGGGCTGCAGCCTTGGCTAACGCTGAGGCAAAAGCTCAGATGTGGGAGGAGTTTGAGGCCTTGGATAGAGACTCGATTGGCTCTGATGAAATTCTGGCAAACCATCTGACGGCTGAGGAGGGGAAAGAATAATTTTACAAACAACACTGTGTTCAGTGAAAGTGGGGTGCTGTTGATCTCAGCCACTGATGACGTCGGGAAGTGGAAGTAATACTTCTTGGACCTTCTCAATCCCACTGGCACTTCTTCCATATGGAGGAAGCTGAGTCAGGGGACTTTGGGGCTGGTCTGTCCATAACGAATTACAGGGGCATCACTCTCATTAGCCTCTCTGGTAAGGTCTACTCAGGGTTCCTGGAGAAGCAAGTCTAATAGTTGGTCAAACTTCAGATCCAGGAGGAACAATCCATCCTGGCTGTGGAATACTGGATCAGCTCTTTACCCTCACTAGGATCCTCGAGGGGTCAAGGGAGTTGACACAATACAGTCTATATGAGTTTTGTGGACTTGAAGAAAGCGTTCAACCATGTACCTCAAGATGCACTGTGGGGATGCTCTGTAAGTATGGGATTGAGGGACTGTTGCTACAGGCCATTCAGTCCCTAGCTTGCTTGCACACTAAATTTTCAGAAGCTCAGCATTATCTGTTTACTAAGAGTCGGGGCTGATTTTTACTTTGCAAGACTTTAAGAACTCTGTTCTCATTTTCACAGTTGCAGAAGAATTATGCCATTTTGATCTTGGAGGCTTTGCAAGAACTCATTCTGCACACAAACTCCTGGCAAAACTTTTGTCAGAGGTTTTTACTAACTATTGTATGATTGGTCAGAATTTTGTTGGGTGTTTTGTGCAAAAAAAATAATAAAAAATGGTGAACCAAACTGCTCTCTTTTTGTTTCAGCTGCTCTGCTGAAGAGCAGTTGGCCGATGTTTACAACTTTTTCAGTACAACTTATAAAGATAATCCAATAAACTGTAAGAAAAGAGTCCAAGAACTTGTGGAAAAAGAAAACCTGTATGAAGGCAGCTCTTCATGGCTGTGCTGACTGAGAGGAAGGGCTGTTTCTTCTATAGTATAAAATCTCCATGCAAAAAAGTGTGGGCGAGAACAGATGTCTTGTGATTTGAGAAGTATGTAGCAGCCTTTAGTATCATGAACTGCCATGGCAATATCACAACACTGAAAACGTGCAAGCCTGTCCGAGAACATAAAGTGATTGTCTAATGAATTTGAACATAAAAGCCACATAAGACACGAGTTTAACTATGGCCATGATTTGTCAGCACTTATTTATACTTGTACCTGATGAGAACTGTTCAATATGCTGAGAATTCACTTTAGTTTAGATGTGGAAACTTTGTGAGTCCATGTGATGTTTGTTTTCAAACCTTTTTGAAAAATCTAAAAATATGAGCCTTTTTTTTTTCTCCTATTGGGCATCATTAAACTTCAATCCCACACCCTGTTCTACCCACACTGTCTCCCAGGGATCTGAGCTTGTAGAAGGGCTGAATGTAGAACCACGATCCTTCATTTCCTGCTGAGTCCAGAGTCACTCTCATGGCATTCTTCTCCAAGAGCGCAGGTAGACGCTTGTTGACTGTCAAGTATTTGTTGCTTTTCAAATGCAGCAGCTGTTAAAATACCAAGACACAAGGTTATAAAGTTAAAAGACTTACAACTTCACAAGAAGTGGAAGTGGAAAGATTACCGTACATGGATTAAAACAACAAAGACGCAACCGGACCCAAGAGAATAATTAGGAAAATAAATTGCTTGGAAATATTTAGTGCCTTAAAGGGGTTCTATGGAAAAATATGAGGAACTACATTTCTTTATTTTAAAACGGTTTCAATCTTGAAATATTGTCTGCTAGCAAAAAGAAAATCAAATTAAAAATAAAAACTGCTTCATTGTTTGTAAATATCTGTGCAATGTGAAATTGATGGTATAAAGTTCTATAAATACCATTTGAATAAAGAGTTATACACTTTTTAAGACTGGATCAGTTTTAAGATGGCATCAATCCACTGTTCATAGAGCAATTTACAACAGATAAAATATTAATTGTTTATGACTTCTTCATATGGGCAGCACGGTGGTGCAACTAGTAGAGCTGTTGCCGCTCAGCGAGCAGGTCCCAGGTTCAAATCCTGGTCCGGGCGCATTTCTGGGTGGAGTTTGTATGTTCTCTCCGTGCATGCGTGAGTTTTCTCTGGGTACTCCAGTTTCCTCCCACAGACCAAAAACATGCATGTTAGGCTGATTGGTAACTCTAAATTGTCCCGAGGTGTAAGTGAGAGAGTGAATGGTTGTTTGTCTCGTTTGTCTCTATGTGTCCCTGTGATGGACTGGAGACCTGTCCAGGGTGTACCCCGCCCTTCGCACAGTGATTGCTGGACATGGGCACCGGCGACCCCCGTCACCCAAAATGGAAGAAGCGGGTAAAAGATAATGGATGGATGGATGGATAATTTTAGTTTTTATTTTATAATTTTTAATAATATATTTATGTATTATCTTTGTAGATTATATAAATGCTCTAAATGTCATATCCATATTCTGTTGGGGGACTATTTGACCACTCAGAATTGTAAAAAAATGGGTAAATACGTTGCCGTCTCACTGAAGTTTGAAGTGTTCGCAGCCAATGACCATCCAGCTGTAACCATGTGTAGCAGGGACAAATCAGTGAGTTAATGAGTTCACGAAGAATAAGAATCATAACTCTTAAAAAGTTTAACAATCTGCTCAGGGCTCACACATCACTATTCTCCCATAGGCTCATAAAATAAAAAATGAGATTACCACAGAAAGCACATTATACATATTGACAAACTTTTATACAGTACAAGAGCAATGAACAATGTGCATCATATTTCATAAAATTATCTTAAGCATATCAGAAGTTATAGGTCAGATAAGAAAACTTTGACCATACGTCTGTAAATCCATCCCATACGTCTGATTTCGACTGGTGTATAAAAACTGTTTTTTGGAGTCAAATGAACTTATACAAGATGGCAAAGTTTTCATGAGCATTATGCAAAGGAGGATGAGACTTTTCAACAGTCACTTTATACCAGACGTTTGTGCTGCAGCAAATATTTAAACCTCCTCTGATTAAAACAGTCGTCGTCTGTTTTATCAAGCACAAAGTGTCATGGTTCTAAATGGTGCTGCAGTTCTGTTAAGCAAAGCACCTTATCTAAGAGATCCCAACACACCTGAATTACATTTCCATACTGGATGACTGTTCCCAGGAGCTTACGATTTTCAGACTCGTTCTGCTTCTTCTCAAGGTCTGCAGCGTGCTGTTATACAGAAAAGAGGACAAAGGAGATGAAATAACCATAATTTTTTTTTCCACTTTGGCCACATAAGGAAATGTAAAAATAGAATTCTTACATGAAGTTTGTTGAGGAGGACTGTGTCAGTTGTACTGTTGCCTCCAGGTTTTGCTGCTTTCCAGAACTGTTTCTGTGCCGAGTATCTGTTCATTGGACACAGCTTGAAAAGGCAATCTAAAGGGAAATAAACAAGAAACAAGAACTTTCAAATTCAACAAAACCAATAAGTGTTTGATTTGGTTGATTGGCAATTTGATGAATTGAAAATAGACGGTTATTAGTTATGGCATGGCTTCAGTTTGGGTTCAAACATGAAAGAATCTGAGTCGGTACCTTCAAGGTTAAATGGGGTGTAACGTACCGGTAAGTGCTTCACTTTAGGAATGACGGGTTTGGAAGTTAGCAGTCAACATTACTCAGTCTTGTTCACAAGGCTGGAATGTCTTTATCAGTTAGACAAAAAACACAGTACATCTGTAGTAGTTTGTGTTTGAAGGTTAACAAAAGTTCATCCTTGATTTAATCTTGACAAACTGCCTGGACCCCTATCTCCCCAGTTCGTCCAGGATTTGCTTTATATGGTCCTACGGTGTTACAATAACAAAAATAACTTAATTTATCCCACACTGGGGAAATTCACACAATACACAACTAACCTGTATAGATGAAGGTTGAATGAAAAAAAACACATTAGTATACCAGATGTACATCAAAGTTAATCCATCACAAATACGAAAAAGCTTTTTGCTGATTTAGCACTTGGAAGACTTTGGGGAGGCAATCAGCCACATATTTATTTTTGTTTGCGTCGTTATGGAATAATTTGTTTTGGTGCTGTAAAAAAAAAAAAAAAAAAAAAAAAAAAAAAAATTCCCCCCCCCCCCCCCCCCGACATATTTTTTATGTAAAAAAATAATGCATTCCTCTTAGTACAAACTGGATTCCTAAAAAAGTTGGGACACTAAACAAATTGTGAATAAAAACTGAATGCAATGATGTGGAGATGGCAAATGTCAATAATTTATTCATAATGTAACATAGATGACAGATCAAAAGTTTAATCTGAGTAAATGTAACATTTTAAAGGAAAAATATGTTGATTCAAAATTTCACAGTGTCAACAAATCCTAAAAAAGTTGGGACAAGTAGCAATAAGTGGCTGGAAAAAGGAAATTGAGCATATAACGAACAGCTGGAAGACCAATTAACACTATTTAGGTCAATTGACAACATGATTGGGTATAAAAAAAATAAATAAAATAAAAATTAAAAAAAAAGACAAAATGATTGGGTATAAAAGAGCTTCTCGGAGTGTTGGTGTCTCTCAGAAGCCAAGATGGTAAGAGGATGACCAATTCCACAATTGCTGCGCAGAGAGATAGTGCAGCAATACCAGAATGGTGTTACCCAGCGTAAAATAGCAGACTTTTAAGTTCTCATTGTAGTAGTACATATACGAGATATATGCATACAATTTTCACGAGTTC